TAGCTATGCTAGCTATATAATGCGGATAATGTTAGAGTGTACGCTCGAATAATAAAATTCTCCATAATTTTATAATAATTCTATCATAATATAAAAAAGGCATGATAATAAAAATTCATATTGATATCAATTCTGAATAATAATAATAATCATACGAAAAAGCCTCTTAACGAGGTAAAAATCTAGTGACGATCGCCTTTTCAACAAACAAAAGGTCTGATATCAACTTTTGTGACTTTTTTTTTTTAGTAAATCAAATTTATTTTTTTAACGTTGATCAGCCAACCTAATGGCTATAAAACGTTGTGTACAAAGAGAAATAATTAACATGGAAACATAACAGAAAAGGTGATTAACAATATTTACAATAATTGAACAAAAACAATTTTATTGCTTTAGGACTCGAGAGACCTGACGTCCTCTTGTCCAGAGATCACCGGGATGCCTTCGCATTAGTCTTCTTCTAATCCTTGGGTGGGCCAAGGAAGCTGCTAGGTGGTTTATGTGTGCAGTGAGGCGATCATTGTACCGACTAGAGTGCCGGTTTATCTGCTCCCTGACTGAGGGAACATGAAGGTCAGTTGTTAGGGCGTCATTCCTGATGTACCACGGCGCGTCTGCAATTATACGCAGCGCACGGTTTTGGACCCTTTTGACTTTCATTACCTTCGAGTCTGAAGCCATGCCCCATAGTTGGATGCACTTTTGTGACGAAAATGTATTATACGATCTCCTAAAAAAATACTTTCAAAATTTTTCTCATTCGACACGCTTTATAGAAATTTGTTTGATATCAGAAGTTTTTGTTTTGAACATCAATCACAATTCATGTACTTTTCCAAAAGCCGTAGAATTCAAGTTTCTTATGTGGAACTGTTCTTGTCAATTTAAATGATTCAATGACCCTAAAATAGTGTTTGGATACACACAATCGTTTTTAAGAAATAAAAAAAGCTAAAGAATCGAAATAAAGAAGGCTATAATTTTTATCGAAGGTATTTAGACAATTCATGTTAGAAAGGCGTACGCAGTTTTTCAATACACCTTTCCAACGACACATAGCACAAGCATGTAGCTTTAGAAATTCACAAGTTAACGAAATTTAGCTATTTATACATAGCTGTTTTCCCGTTAAACTAGCGAGTTTTTCCAAAAGTGGTACACAAAAGATTCTTAAATTAACATCCTTCAAAATTTTAAGAATTTTAAATCAGAGTTTGGATACGCACAAGAAAATTCAATGCTCATGCTGTGTTAGATTTTCCTAACTGGTAAATGTGGGTACTTTTGTTGATAACTAACTTCAAAAGGTGTCTTTTTACAACAATAAGTTGTATGTTAAAAGTTGAGGAATCTCAAGGACTGTACACATTTAAGTTCAAACCAAAACCGTTAGAGCCTTTAAAAAAAAAAAAAAACTTAAAAAATTGGAAAAAAAAAATTAACTACATTTTTAAACGATGGTATTCAGACAAATCATGTTAGGAAATGTACACAGTATTTCAAAATACGTTTCTAACGACATATAGCACAAGCCTGTAGCTTTTGTAGTTCACATCTAGCGAGTTTTTCCAAAAGAACTTAAGTTTCTCATATTAACTGCTGTTTACCATCATCTTGTATTTCCAGGACCCTAAAATAACGTTTTGGGACAAACTGACAAACAAAATAAAAATATCATTTTGAGAAGTCCCCCCAAAATCTTGTTTTGCGTAAAACTTTTGAACGGAGCATACGATTTTAACAAATGTCATTCGACGCGTATTTTAAGTAAGAATACAACTAGACTAATGAACTTGTGCATTTATCCCCAACAAATCAAATTTTCTAAATTTTCCCCTTCACACTTTCACCGTTCTTTTTCACAAACTTAATGGTTTTTTTTTAGTCTTGGTATGCAATCCTTTTAATTTTTGCGATACCTTTTGATTGATCACTCGTTACGATCGGACTATCACAGTAGATTTTAATTTTTCCGTATATATATATATAAATTTTATTTCAGTATTAGCAATTATACATAAATCGCATTAAAAATATAATAACTAATTTAGGGAAAGAAGTAACTAGCTACAGTAGAAATCTACTCGACAGTCGATAAATATTTGTTGTTTATATTTGAGATTGAACATTTAATGAACAAATAGCTGCTTAAACGTTGTGATTGGAGTCCTTGATTTTTGGAAATCGTGAAGTGTGGTGTCTATGGAGGGAACGGAATGACTTTATTCTAACGATAAGGCGTTCCTATGTTGTGCCTCTTTATAAAGGTTATACATCTTCGTATCGTAGATTGGACCTTGATTTTCCTTCATCAGAATAGAGTTGGCACATGAGTTTTGGTATAAATTTGAAGGTAGTTTGCGCGACTTTGGTTTTATTGTCCGATAATTCTGCTCCGGCTAGGATGCATTTAGTTGGGGTCGTTGAAATGCGCCAATGCTTCGCCTGACGGCAGCATGATAAGGAGGTTAGTTTTTTTTTTAGTCCGATGGCGCGCATGAGCCATAGATGGGAAGGCCATAATTAATTTTGGACAGCAACAAAGCTCTTGTCGCTTGTATAAGTGTTGTCCGGTGGATGAAAGATCGCTTAGATGTTAAGAACTTAATAATGCTTAGTCTATTAATAATTTTAATCCAAAGTTCTTTCCAGTGTTGTTTAAATGTTAGTCGTTTATCAATTGTCAGGCAGTTTTAAGAAAAAAAAACGCGTTCACTATCTTTGTTATTGTGCGATAATACTGGGTATGTTCAGCGTTGTTTTTACAAATATGACAAACCTTACATTTATTTACAGCAAGGGTCGCACCGGAGGTGTATTATTTAGTGTAGTATTATTCTTACATTTCTGGCATCGTCTGCATAAATTAACAGTTTAATTTGCTTATGTCTGAATATTATGTTATTTAAGGACTGGATCGATTGTGAACAATACCACAGAGAGGGGCGATCCTTGTGAGATGCCATTGTGGAGAATATAGAATTTAGATAGAGTGTTGTTAACTCTTACTCGGATAGAACGGTTGATCATGAAAGCCCTCGCTAAGTTGAAGGTATTTTGACCCACTCCCCACCAGGAAAGTGGATCCAATACTGTAGGCACTACAACGCGATCGAAAGCCCTTTCAAAATCAGTTGCCAATATGGTAACATGATTTTGGTAGAAAGGGCATCCGATGCGTAATGGTGGAGATGCAGAAAAGAATCCAGTGTGATATGCTGTTGTTTAAATGCTGTTTGGTAGGGGCTGATAACTTTCTGTTTTGTAATAAACCACATTAACCTTTTGGCTAACATGTTTTCTAGGGTCTTGCTTAAAGGAGTAAAGAAATGAGTCTACAGGATGTTATTTCGTGGGTTGGTTTTTTAGGTTTTAAGATAGGGATAATGATGGCCGCTTTCCACACATGAGGGTAGGTACCCCTAGCGAACATTGCGTTATACGTTTATAATGGGCGGTTTTCGGTTATACCAGGTGTTTTCCCTTTCGCATACTTAAGGGCATATTCAAGCTCACTAAGAGTGATGGGGATCTTCGTTGTTACATTTAATTGTTCTGAGGTTGTTTGGGAAATTACCTGTTAAGCGATTTAGGTCAGACCAAGTTTTCGTGTATATATAGTAGTCGCCTCTCTCTCTCCTGGTGCGTACCCACGTGGATTGCCGTCCACAGTGATAATAAGAAAAATTTTTAACCATTTTAAAATAATGAATAAGCATATAATAATAATTCATTATTACATTGGCTCAAAATAATAATAACAATACTAATAACAGGAACAACAAAAAAAACAACAAACAGTTAATAAGCAAGCTGGCAATTAAAATGATATTGATTCTGAATAATGACAACAACCGTCTGCATGAACTGCACACGCCTATAGGGACCACTTGTGTTGATTTGCCTCCCAGAAAGTCCTTTCGACTTCCGAGGTTCCAAGAGAGAATTCTCACAACTTTCCGAATTTCTACTTTTGTAGTTAATAGCAATAAAATAAAAATAAAATAATTTATAGCAAAACATTATTTAGCATTTTTATACCCGTTACTCGTAGAGTAAAAGGGTATACTAGATTCGTCGGAAAGTATGTAACAGGCAGAAGGAAGCGTTTCCGACCGCATAAAGTATATATATTCTTGATCAGGATCACTAGCGGAGTCGATCTGTCCGTCTGTCCGTCTGTCTGTCCGTCCGGATGAACGCTGAGATCTCGGAAACTATGGGAGCTAGGCTATTGAGATTTGGCGTGCAGATTCCTGAGCTTCTTACGCAGCGCAAGTTTGTTTCAGCAATGTGCCACGCCCACTCTTACGCCCACAAACCGCCCAAAACTGTGGCTCCTACAGTTTTGATGCTATAATAAAAATTTTAACATAAGTGTATTCTTCTCATCAATACCTATCGAGTGACCCGAAAAAAAAAATTGCCACGCCCCCTCTAACGCCCAAAAACCGCCCAAACCTGTGACGGCCACAGTTTTCATGCTAGATAAAAAATTTTAACTGAAATGTATTGGTCTCGTCAATACCTATCGATTGATCCACGCCCACTCTAACGCCCATAACGCTTAAATCTGTCTACCGCCGGTAGGTGGCGTATTTAAATCTCGATTTGCTGCTTGCATATCTCCATTTCCCTTTGGTCCCTTTAGCTGAGTAACGGGTATCTGATAGTCGAGGTACTCGACTATAGCGTTCTTCCTTGTTTAGCTTGTAGTCGTGGGTGGGTCAGAGCAGCATTATGTACAACGCAGAAAAGAAAGAATTAAAAAGCCCAATGGACATATCAAGAATTTTGTATTTTTTCCAAAAAAAAGGCCCAGTTTAAAGTGGTCGAAACTCTTATTCTGGAGATGTTATTGAGAGGAACACAATGGTATTACAAACTTATGTATATGTATTCAAAAGCGCCGGAAATTGCGATGTGGCAGCGAGCATGGAAATTGGAAGTGAAGCGAGGATCTGGCTTTCTCTGACATCGCACGACCCGTTTATCTGATGGGACAGTTCCAGGGTCACGTCGACGACGTGGTGTACGTTCTACAGGACAAGCCACACCCATTCTTTCGCCGGCAGGGGTGCGGTCTACGCTACACGGCCCGGATCTCGCTGAAACAGACGCCATGCGGTACCCTCCTGGAAGTGCCAAAGCTCCAGGGCGAGCCGCTGCATCTCTCCATCAAGGATGAGGTGATCAGCCCGGACTCGACGCACCGCTTCCCGGGCCAGGGACTAACCCATCAGATAAACGGCTCATGCCGCGGCGATCTCGTCGTCGACTTTTCCATCGAGTTTCCCGAAACAATGTTACAGAAAGCCAGATCCTCGCTCTAATTCCTCTTGCTAAGATTAAGTAGAGCAAAGATCTAGCCTTCTCTGAAATCGTTTCAGGAATTCGATGGTGAGCCCTTGGTTCTGCTGGATTTCGAATTAATGGTATAAAAACTAAAAAAATGGTGCAAACTTTTTTAAAATACCTTGAAAATATGCTGTACAATAGATTCAAAGGCACGAATTGATTAAACAGAAATGTCTACGGTGTCTATGACTATAGCTTGTCAAAATCACTGACTTCGATTTATTTTTGACTTAAGACATGTCAAGACAACATTTTTAGCACATTATACCCTCTGCACACAGCCGCTTAAAATTGCAACAGCAATTATTGTGAACATAAAAAATCGCTCGGAGGGGGTTTTCGCTTTAGTGACCGAATTCCGCTTCAGTGACTTTTTCAGTGACAAATAGATTCAGTATTCCAGTCTTTTATTCAGTATTTTTTTTTTACGAGTTTAGGTGATTTTTGTACCTTGCTTTTCATGTTTTCTTGAGAAGGAAATGCATTTGAACTGCAATGGGCCGTTATGAGGAAATTGTTGTTGGTGCAGGCCCAAGGAGCCTCCCAACGGCTCGGAAACCAGCAGCTGATCGCATCTTGAAAAAAATATTGCTACGCTCTTTTTTAAGGAAAAGATCAACCTCAAGCTTATGTGCTTTCTGGCAAGATCTGGCACATGTTGCACAAAAACGTAAACTGTTAAAGTAAAGCAAGCCTTTTGAAGGCGCATCCACCTCTCTAAATTGTATGCGAGGACGGTGTTACAAATATTTAAAAACGGTTTAAACGGTTCTAACTTGTGAAAATTCTCGTGGCGTCACTGTTGGCCCACATTAGTCCCTATAGTAACAATGAAATAATCATTTCGTGCTGAACACATTCCACATTTTAACGTTAAAATTGTATTTAGATTTTCATTTTTTTGCATTTTCGCTCCAGCGATTCTTAATGTGAACATGAATCCGTTTAAAGTTGCAACATTGATTTTCAAGCGGCTGTGAGCAGAGGGTAATATATCGATAACTAAGCTAAGAAATTTGCATCCTTGGATAGCTTATTAGGGCAATACCTATTAATACGGGCAAAAAGTATTTTTGTGATATTTTTTGGGTATATTTTAAAGTTGGCTTAAAAACATTAATATTAAGCTAAGGTCGATGGCCCTACCTCAAAGAAAAAATATCTTGGAACATGTTTTTTTAGCTTCAAAGTGTACGACTGTCGCATGCGACAGTAGAGAATTGCCCGTAAAAACATTCATTTGAGAATTTGATTTAAAAAGTAAAAACTAACGCTCGATCTTATCCACAAAGTATAAAACGCATGTATAGTAGTAGATAACTACTTTATGAGTGAACTTTGATTTCGTAAAAAATATCTGTAAACAGAATGAAGTTTAAGGTGAAAATGGTTTTCGTTTTTATAAAGGTTTTAAGTGAGAATTTTAGGGAGCTGATAACAAATAATTTTCTTGAAAAACCGTTGCTTGTGGCTTTCTTATTGGAAGCTCTTTTTTCCCCACAAAATATGAATGCTATCAGAACATATTTCAATTGGAATATTCACCTGTTAAGAGTGGCAGACTCAGTAGCAGCTCCACGAAGTGTGGCAACGTTGACCACACATCGATAGTCGAAATTCAGGAAAATCGATAGACCTTTGTCGATTTCGGGATTCGTCAACAAAACAATCATTTTGCTTCTTCACCGCGGGTTTGTTGTGGGCTTGATTTAAAGCTCTAGAATTTTTTGTCCTGATGTTCTGCTCATTTTTGGATTTGATTTCGTCCATTGAAGACAGAGTTTTAGTACACTTAGGGAAACTATCTGCGCTTAATTTTTTTTAAGTTACGTAGCCCAAAAAGTATCTTAGGGCATTACGTCGTCCCAACTTTTTGTCAGAGTAATTACATTCCGTTGGTTCTATAACCAATTTGGATTCATCAATTGCATTGTCTTCGCAATTCATAGATCCTTGATCGCTTACTATAGCCGTAACATTAGGGCCAAGATTTCTGCGACACTCAAAGGCTCTTTGAAAAATTTTGGCTAGTGTCCACCTCGTATAAATTTATTTAAGAAGACGCCCAAAGGTTCTCTTGACCACGGATCATAGCCGCAAGCATTCCCTCAGCTGAAGATTTATAAATAAAAAGTTGGATCCTCGAGGTCTGAAGGGAATTTTCGCCGCTGCTCAATGCAGCGGTTTACAATCGCCTGGTACTTGCTGAAACATTTTGTCCAGCAAGCTGGACACTGAAATTGGCTGGTGCTCCCTTGTCGAGCGCTGGAAAAAAAAAGAATTTATGCATTTTAATAATAATTATATATTTTGATTTGTTTAAAATAATAATTATTTACTACTTAAAAATTAAGAAATTAACAAAATTTTGTTCCTTAAACTTCCACTACAATTGAAAATTTTCGTCAGCACTCATAATTGCCGAACGATATTCAAACAAGTTTCGTCTTTACAACACTGAAAAGATGCGTTCGATAAAGTTTCCTTAGTAGCTCTGGTCATACTATTTTTCGATAAACAAGCCTTGCTGACTGGCGCATTCCGACTATTAGGCCTTTGGACCTTGGCCGTGTGACGGTCGTTCTCTGTAGAACAAATTTCCTTCAGTAATTAAACCCAAACTCAGTGATATATCCAAATTAAATCGTAAGACATATCGGACATTCCTAGCCTTTGTTAAGGTTTTCTGTTACCAGTTGCTTGCTGTTGATTAAAAAAAGTAAGTTTCACTAATATTTTGTGAAAAAAGCCCAGATTCTCAAAAAATATTGCGTGGCCTACGGCCCGATCCCAAAGTCAGGGAAATTTCTGCTTTTCAACATACAGCCTATGACATCAATCTACAAATTTAATCAAGAGAGTGAATGTAAAACTGTGAAAATGTCAACCAGTGTTGCCACCTGGCAACCTAAACATACCTGTGCAAGTTCATGTACGTCCGTGCAACTTAGTGCAAGGCTCTGTTTTCAGTGTACACTTTTTCGCACATACGTAAAACCTACATAGTGCACAACTTGTCACACAGAATACAAACAACGTTGTGCACCACTTTGTAGTTTTATAACACAGTGTACCTGCTACAGAATGTGCAAAAGTTGCAAGGCCAAAATCAGCAAGACTCGTTTTGATTTGTGATTCTGAGAACAACACAAAAACAACATAAATAATTCATTCAAGCCCTTGAGTTTAATTACTGAAGAAAATTTGTTCAGGAGAGAACGATCCTCACACGGCCAAGGTCCGTGTTTATCGGAAAATAGTAGGACCAGAGCTACTCAGGAAACTGTCGAACGCGTCTTATCAATAAAAGGCATATACCTAACTTAAATTAAATTCCTATATTAGTTAATTATTTAAAATAAAAATATCTAACAAGAATTTAAAGTAAATTATCCAAATCCTAGTGTAATCAAAAAAATTGTTATGCAATAAGCAAATCTCGACATGCCAGCAAGTGCTTAAGCCCTTGGAAGTGTTTTCCCCAATTTATATCTACCCACAGTCTTTCTTAATTTATAAACAATATTACAGCCAAAAATAAAACATATTGAATGCGCTTTCAACGTTGGATATGGTGGGTAAGTGATCGGCTCCGGTCGTTATGCTACACGTTTTGATTGACTGTATACAATAATATTCCAATAATCTTTATATTATAAAAAGAAATCCCCCATGACTAAAATACTTGGTCAGTCATTAAATTAAATTTAATACTTGAAATTAATATTTTAATTCTAATTAGCTTGCTTTGATTTAAATATACCTCCTAAATATGAGCTTAGCGAAAACTTTATATGATACCCAACTTTGTAACTTTAATGGTCACCTTTGTTAGTATTTATTTATTTATTTATTTATTCTCAGGTTATAAGGCAGTTGAGAAATTGCCTATAACCTATTATTGCAGCTATAGCTACTGTGGCCTTAAGCTACGTTTGTTATATTACAATTTACATTTTTACATTTAGACTATGTCTAGGTTTTAAATTGCATGGTATAATTTAATTGCCTTTAGAAAATTCATGGAAGCTTTGATATTTAGGGTGTTGGGGGTAAGGAGTTTAGATGGGTTTGAGGGTAGGAACTTGTTTCTTTCCGATAGAAAGAGAGGACATTCTAGAAGAATGTGTTTGATTGTGATCGTTGTGTTGCAGCGCTCACATTGCGGGGCTGCTTGTTTGTTTATTATGTGTTCGTGCGTGAGCTTGTAGTGTCCCAGCCTTAGTCTTGAAAACTTAACCAAGTCTTGGCGGTTAAAGTTGTTTTCTTTTATGTTGTAATTTTTTAAGGATAGTTTGTTGGGGTTGTTAATTTTATAGTGGTCTGAAGTGTTTTCCCATAGGGATGCGAATTGTTTTTTGAATTTTTGTTTGATGAATAGTTGTGTGTCCTTGTAGTTGAAATTGTTTTCGTAGAAGTGTGGAAATAAGTGAGCTTCCTTCGCAGCTGCGTCAGCTGTGTCGTTTCCAGTTATGTTTGTGTGTCCTGGGATCCACAATAATTTTATATACGATTGATTGCTGTTGAGGGTATCTCTAATTCGAGCGGTATAGAAGGATTGATTGCTTATGTTGGCTATTGATTGCAGTGACGATAGTGAGTCCGAGCAAATGATGAATCTCTTCTTTTGTGATACAGCGTATTCGCACGCTGCATAAATAGCTGCCACTTCTGCCGTGAAGATAGAGCTATATGCTGGTAGGAGTGCTGTTTTAATGATGCGTGTGTCCGTAGTAATGCTATAAGATACTCCGTGCCCGGACTTGGATCCATCTGTGTATATGAATGCGTAGTTATTGTAGTGTTCTTTAAGGGAGCGGAATTTTGTTTGGAACACAGTTGCTGGAGTGTTCGATTTGGTTGTGTAATGTAATGTTAAGTCTATTTTATCTTCAGAGAAGGACCATGGTGGACTTTTCTGTTTCCTTAATTTGGCTGAAGTGCTGT